AAAAAAAAATAGAAGCCAGCTTGGGCAATTAGCAAGACGAGAGAGAGAGAGAGAGAGAGAGAGAGAGAGAGAGAGAGAGAGAGAGAGACAGTTAGTTCCCTGGGAGTAAGTCATGCTGCGGGCGGGTGTGCAAGGTCGGGCTGGGAAACCGTCCTTCGGCGGGATGTTTGCAGGGGACTTTAAGCCCCAGATGCTGAGAGGAGTTGCAGCGGGCCTGAATTGCCCATAACTTGTGATCTTAGCCAGACTCCCCCGCTCCCACCATTTTCCCCTGTTATCTCATTTGTTGGGCAGAAAGCATCTGGTCTCCCAGTTCCCTGGCCGGCCTCATTAGGCAGATTATTAAGGCACCTCTGTGAGACCCAGAAAGGCAGCAGGCGTACCAGCAGCCTCCTTGAGTTTCAGAGTAGCGGACCAGCCTGCCCAGCCCGAGCAGATGCAGATGGGCGTGTGTCTCCTGCCACCTGCTGGTCGTAACGGAAATAGCAAGCTGCCTGTGCTGGGAACTTCAAACCTGCGCTCCTCCTCCAGGGTTTGACCCGAGGGAGGCAGAAAAGGATTTGCCAAAAGCTGCATAGAAAGTTAGTAGAGGGCTTCCCTTACTTAAATAAACCCAGAAAAGAACATTTTCAAGCACCTCAACACTCAACAAAGGCAAATTTATATTTACATGTCAGAGTCAGACCGAGGCCCCCTTCCAGGTACCAGGTCCAGGAATTGGGCCAGCTTCCCCCAGCTCCCCTCCCAGCGTAGACCCTACAGCACTGCGCTCCTCACAAAGAAACAGTTCCTCAGCTCCTACTCGCCAAGTGCTGCATGCAGCACATTCTCTCTCCCTTTGCCTCTGCTGTGAGCCTGGCAGACCAGATTAATTCAGGTGGCAGAGATTTCTTGAGCATTTGTCATATGCCCCAACCCTTCTGGTGCAAGGAATACAGCTCCATTTAAACAAACCAAAGACATGGAGCCAGGCATGGCAGCACACGGCTGCAATCCCAGCGCTCAGGAGGCTGAGGCAGGAGGATTGCTGTGAGTTCGAGGTGAGCCTGGGCTATATAGAGTTCAAGGCCAGGCTGAACTGCACAGGGAGACCCTGTCTCAAAAAGACCAA